ATTGGTGCTCTGAAGAGACCTAGAGATCCTGCCTCCACCAGCCTGCCAGGACCAGGATACAAAATATTTAGTTCACAGCAAACCGTTGTGCAGCCTCATATTATAATCCTGGGATTCAACTGGATTTTAGTTGGTAATCCATGTTGTTACTGTCAGTCAGACCTGTGAGTGTGTGAGACAGAGTGAAAAAAGACCATATAAATTCACAGAGAAATATTTCTGAAAACACTGCAACTGTGTAAAAGTTCAAGTTCAAAGTTTATTTATCAAATGCGCATCAATACTGTGTGCAGCAGTAATTGCGGGTAATTAAAGGTGTTTTCTGCAAGCTCACCAGAGGAAATAGAATAAAAATTACATGAGTTAAAAGTTACAATAGAAAATTACATAATAAATAACACAATAAGGATTGAATAAAATAAAACTCAATATGAATAGAACTGCTATGTGTTCAAGGTGTATACAATGTACTATGTCCAAAAAGTGCAATATACAATACACTAAATACAATGAAAATACTACATGTCCATGTGACCCTGACCACTTATCAGTGACCGTTCGGGTGATCTGCTGATAGTGACTGCAGCTTGGCTGTTTAGCAGTCTAATTGCCTGGAAGTAAAAGACAGGTCATTTCAGTATCTCTATTTGTACTGTACAGTATGTATATTTCAGTCTTGCTTTATTTCTGCAATCTGTTTACACTAATTAACACTTAAAAACCGTTTGTTGAAAGAAAATCTCAGAGTCGCATGGAAAGTCATTTTAGGTTGTGCCTGTGGAAATCATTTATATTGCAACAGATGGCTCTGGTAATTAAACTGATGTGCTTCTGCAGAGGAAACCCAAGTCAAGGGCTGTAGTTCAGGTATTTTGCTCCTCAGTCTGTACAGATGTGAGGGGATGATATCCAGATGTAGAGGGCTTCTCTGCCTGGACGTTCTGGCTCCCAGATGCAGCAGTCTGATCAGGCCCAGGGTGTGTGTACTCGTCCATCATGCTCAAGAGGGAAAAAAAACTGTATTAAAAACGGGACAGTTTAAATCCCGGCTGTCTTCAAAATCATCATTTTTCCAGTTGCAGGCTGGGAATCATCCTGGAAAATCGACTCGACTATGACAGTCTCAGTCTCCCCTTTTTTTCATGTTTTGCCTTTTTTGGGGAGGGGGCTCAGAAGTTTCTGAAATGGATGGCGAGCTCCCTGACAGCTCCAGGCAGACCCGCGGGCGGCGCCACTTCTGAGTGTGAGTGGGAAGCAGTGGCTCTAGGATGAGACTGGAGGGATGGGCGAGCCAGAGCCGACGCCCTGTGTGTCTCAGACCTCCAGTAAGTCAGGGGGGCGCTGTGTCAGCCCTTCTGCTGGCTTTTAAGGTTTGTTCCACAGTGTGAAAAGGGGCGTCTCCCAGCTGGCTGCACCGGGTGATGACCAGGTGAACCTGGAGTGTGTCAGTGGCCAGCGGTTTCCCTAGTGGGCTTTTTTTGGTGGTCTGGGGCTTGCAGTGTTGTTGGTGGGAGCTGTGTCATTCCTCCAGTCAATACCAGTTCTGCTGTACACACTGTGGGACTCGTACAGGAAGATAAAGGTGTCTGCAAGTACTGGGACACAACACACCCTCTCTTTATCGCCACCATGAGGACAGGGTGTGAATATTCCGTAGAACAGAGACTGCAGTGAGTGACATTTATTAGCAATTAATTCCAAAGTCCATAATATAAAGGTTTAAACCAAAAAAGGACCAAAGATGCAATCTATATAGACTGCATCGTAGGAATAAGGTTAGGCTTAGGACTCATACACATGGCCTGCGTACATCTGGAACAAGCTACCCAACAATGTTGTCAGAGCTCATACTCTGGTTTCTTTCAAGAGATTCTTAGATCCCTTAGCTGCTATAACACCGCCAGTTGTAGATGGGTTGAATGCTCTTGTCTCACTTGTAATCTTACTTATGTAATCTGTCTTAATACAAGACCTCAGAGGAGCTTCATCAGATATCCACATGCCATTCCTGTGGAATGCAGCCTAAATTAATTAGTTTGATTAATGTGGAGGTATGGCAGTGGATCAGGTTGGACATTTTTATGCATGAATTACTGGAAATTGCTGATGAATTCTGGATCCTCACCAATATGTCATTCTTTAAAACTGTGCTTTTCCTCCATTATTTTTGGATGTGAATAATAGCACTAGTAAGGTCTGCCATGCAAAACAGTTAGTGGTTGGAATACTCAATGAATGGCTGTTCCTATAAGGTTTGTACTTCTCAAGATATGGTCAGTATTACCAAATGAGGCACATGGATGTAGTGGTGTCTTAGAATTTCTTTTTTATTCATTTATTCTTTTATCTATTAAGTCAGAATGCTTGAAAGGGTAAAGAACTGGGAGGGGTGAAAAGTTAAAGGCTTACCACTTTCAAAATCTGATTTTATTCTGCTGTGATCTAGGAAGGCTCATTCTTCAGCTGACATTTGTGCAGCGGTTGACAGCTCATTCATCACGCTCGCCAGTGGAGGTGTGTGTTTCATGGGTCGTGCACTTCGATTTTCTGGGTTCTGTAGCCGTATAATCTATATACTGATACAATCGTCTGTCTGTGCACTGGCAGCGGTCTGAGTGTACGGGCGACACTAATGAAAAACACTGTTATATGATATTTAAACATTGGCCTCGTTGTTTTACAAGGCATAAAAATAAGCGATGCTTTAATGTAAGTGTCAGGGAGGGCATTGTCCAAACAGTTTACGTACAAAAGTCCATGATTAAAAAAGTTTAAAAATGGCTTTAACAGGCCTAGAGCCTAATTAAGGAGCACTAATTCCTTTAAACACAGAGAAAATTTGACGTTAATTTCCTCAGTTGCTTTAGGCTGTGCTTAAGTACTCCCAGATAAGATTTCTAGAGGGATGAGTTGTTGAGACAATTCTTACTAAGAAAGAATCTTTAATCCCTAAAACATGGTGAAATGGGCAGAAATATTTTAGAATTTAGAATTTTAGAATTTTTGCCAAATTGTAGATCCTCCAGGGCATGATTTTTAAATTCTCATCATAACCCACAGGAAATGTGGTGTGATTCAATCTACGGCACTGATCTGGGCCTCCGGAAGAGTCTTCTGTCTTCTCTCCCTCTGGTATTCAAACTGATTGCTCTAACCTGCCACTCCGATATCTTTTTAATATTTCAGCATTAGAACGTTTTTTTTCCATTTACAAATACAGGGATACTTGAGACCTGTGACCTGTACATTTTACTAGTGAAAGGGCACATCTGGACAGCAAACAGGAGTAAGTAAGATGACAAGGCTGTCTCTGCACTGAGTGTGAAGGGAAGGTGTCCCTCTGAGCAGGGCACATACTGTAGATACTAAGGCAGGCTGTTCAAACATGTCTGTTTCTCTGACCAGTGAAGTGTGTGTGTGTGTCCGTCCTTCCACTTCAGTGTTGAAGAGGTTCCAAAATCTGCAATCAGAGCAGCGTCTAGAAACGATGATTACTAGCAAATCAAATCAGATACTTAAGTATGAATGTTGGCGTTGGTTCTTGGAAAAAAAGGAAGAGAGGCCAACCTTCTGAGAAGGGTGCAGTGTGCAGCACTGGCCCCATCTTGTGGTCACACAGACTAATAGCAGCAGTATATGCAGCACAGCTTTTATTCTGACACTTCAGAAAGAGAACAGGGACAATGCAGTCAAGATTGTCTCCAAGAAGAATCTATCGGTACATATTCCCCGTCTCGAAAATCACAGTTCATGTAGATGGATTCATGGAAGTGTGTGTGAGATGATGAAAAATAAAATCGCCACTTAGTATAGTTGAGAGGTGTTTTTAACAAATTCATTAAGATGTTGTAATTATCATTTCCTGCATGGTAATCAAGCAAATGCAGTCAATTTGACAATTTAACACAGCTGCAGTATTTAAAACCGGTTCTGTATTGAAAGGAACCTTTGAAATTCCAAATGGTCTCAAAGGGTCAAGGGGCCATACTAAAATTATGTGCGTGCTGTCTGTGTTCATGACTTTATTAGAGAAAAAAATAAAAAATGCAAATTGCGTGCTCACACACTTACTGTGTGAATGAACTATCAATATAATGTATTGATATTTTTCACAGGCAGCAAGAACGATTATTACATTACCGCCAAGTTTCTTTGTTAAATGTATTAAATTGGTTAAGATGGCTGCTTCACAGAAGATGCAAAATAGCACCCATCTGTATCCCGAAGTGTGGAACATGTCACCGTGGTAAATAGGCACTTAAATACAGTGCATGCCTCAGACACATCCTGCCCATGTTTGGGTTTTGGAAACAATTAGCTACTACAGCATTTACGTCTCTACTTTTCCATTTTTCTCCTCCAGGAAGGATAGGTTTACCTGGGATTACTGATGCCACAGAGCCACTGAGCCAGAGATAGCTTCCTTCACGCCTTCCTTGGTGCTATTGGATGTTTTCTCCAATATCTTGAGCAAAACTTCTCTGCCACCTCTCTACAAACTCACCTCAGAACAGAGCAGGAGGGGAGGTGACCCGGTATCATTTTTGATCCCAGTCAAACCCGACGATTAATGAGGTTAAATTACCAATAGATCAGAATCAAAACCGAACCGTTCTTCACAGAAGAAGACTGCATCTTAACAGCTCTCTTCTCTCTTCCAATGGGTGTGTTCCATATCCTTTAAAATGCTTTAGTATGTTCGTCAATATCATTCCAAGAAAGCGGATTACTCTTCTGAGACAGCCAAGAGTCTGAGCATTGCTGTACTGTCTGCAAAACCAGAACTCAAGAGACACGTGAAATAGTACACATCATTCTGCTTCGGCCATCTATGTTTGAGCTTGTAAAACAAAGACCTTATTAAAATGTTGTACAGAAAGTGGCCAGGCAACCTCACTTTAATCTAAAGAGCTAGCAATTCTTTTTTCAGTGTTCCCTTAAAATGCACCAGAAATGTAAAAACACTATGTGCATCAAGAAACGTAAAGCAAAGTCACAGACAGATTTTCTGTAAGATTTATTGCAAAATGTGCATGTAGCAAAACATGTTTTTCCTTCCAGTTATTTTTAATAATACAAGCAAGACGCAAGATGCAGTACAGCCTCGCACCACTGGAGGGCACTGTGGCTAAACAGCCAGTGCCGGTGTGGAATGCTGGGGTATGCGTGAGCGGATCGCAGCTCCTCTTGGCTTGGTCCCTTAGTTGTCCCCACCACAAAGCTCCAGTAAGATTTTACGGTAATCTCCTGAGGCGTCGCCCTGAAGCAAATAAAACAGATGTTAGAATCCAGCTTGAACCTTTAAAAAAACACACTAAAAATGAGCTACAAATTTTTGCCGTGCATTAGAGCTGCAGTCCAGACCACTTGTGCAGCGATTCCGAATTCAATTTTCCTCTGATCACAGACCACTCCCATATTTCCCAAGCAGCTCTTTCTGTGAATACAGTCCAGTCCCTTAGGTCCCTAGTATTATTATATGAATTGCATCATATTATCCTTGTATTGGATTACTGAATTGAATATTGAGCAGTAGTACGTTTTCTAAGTGCTTATTTGCTTATTTGTCTATCCCATGCTTTCACTCGGCAGGCAAGCCTCTGGTTCTCACCTTGATGAAGGAGTAGAGAGTCTTGCCATACATCTTGCGGAACTCGGACTTGATGTCCAGCATGTCGATCTCGGCACGGGACACCATCACTCGGATCAGGATGCTATCCGTGGTGCCCAGACCCTAAGAAGAGAGCCCAGTGCAGGGAGTCAGACTGTACTGAACCGACACACACTCAGCACACAAAGTGCAGTCCATTCACACAGCACCTACTGGAATTTATTTGGTTTTGTAACCAGCTTGTTATTACTAACAGCTGGAGTCCAGCTGGAATGTATGGGGGGTAACTACAGCAATGTACAGAAGAAAACAAAGATGGCTAAACCCTACATCCATTTAGTATTCCAGATGGGCTTTAGATGGGCTTTTTTTTTTTAGCCACTGTTTGTTGTTTGTCACGGTTTCTGTGGAAATAAATGTGATGTATTTCAAGTAAAGGGAAGTCATACAGTGTACTTTTTAACCCTAATACTGAATTTTTACCTACCTACAGATGTATATTCAGAAAGAGATGCAATTTCCGTCATCATTGTAAAAACATACTTCAGAAATCTCATAGCCAGAATTATTTTTGTAACTTTTCACCTACATGCTCTTTCATTCTAAAGGCTGCAAAGGGAGTTCTATCCTAAAAATGCCAGGTACTTAAAGTACTTCAAAGGCAGAAAAAGTGACTAGAGAAATACAAAATACTGGGCACACCAGTGAAGTCAGTGTACTCTGCTCTGAGCTATTCCTGTTAATGGGAGTGTAGTCTTTTTAAACTCAAAGGTACACAAATGGTGGTTTTCACGGCTGCAATCTAAACAAACCCTACCCCAGTTGTTTGCACCTAAATTTATAAGTAGAGTTTAGTATAATTCAACAAAAAAAGTTTGACTGTGACGCGTGACTTTGCAGAAGCCGATTTTGGGCTGTAGCTGTGACTAATGCTGCTGCTCATCCACAAACACCAAACGGATACGAACACTGACGCTGCAGGAACAACACTGGTTACCTTCATGGATTTGTACAGACGCTCGGCGAAGAAAGCTGGCTTGTTCCTGATGCATTTCACTACAAAACACAATGCAGTCATTCACACACCGTTATAAAATACAGCAGTTTTATCAAATACAGCCAATCAGTATAAGAGGCTAGTTCACACATAGCTCGAATTATATACTCCATGCCTTCATTTGTAAATTGTGTGGACTTGAGAGAAACAGGATTAAAGATTTATTTTCTTTGTCTCCTTTGACTGGCCGTTTCCCAGGATATAAGGTACAGTATAAACACTTTGCAGTGCCAGAAACTACATTTCTGACACGTCGTCAATGAAGAGAACAGGATGACATATGTTTTATTTAACATAAACCCTCTAAGATGTTTATACTCATTTGCTATCCCTTCAGAAGGCACTATTTTTATTCTAATGAAGAAAAAAAACTACATGGAGACATTACTAGGGGCAAGAGTTTAATTAAGCACTGT